ATGCATGAGCTGCCGGAGTATTCCTCTGAGTTGGGACCGCCTATCACCAAGGCGCCTTTTTTTGGTGCACAATTTGAGCAAACCGAGCAGATTCCATTTGTATCCATTTGTGGTGTTGGCTTTCCATCTGAGAAACTTTTTGCTTCTTACTCTCCTGCATTGGCATTTGATGCACTTGTCATATTTGCAATCATTTGTCGTCCAAAGGCACCCTGCACAGGTGTCGCTCATGGCGTGCGGCAGGTATTGCTTTGTGCAGTTTCAAAATGCAGAGCTTGCCACCCGCGCAATCACTATTTTTGATGACACAGATGCTTGGTGCGTGAGAAGGTGCGTGAAGGTATGTAATTAACACCCGCAGACGTGTCTGTGATTGCAATGGCAATTAACTGGCTATGTAAACTGCTTACAGTAACAGTATCATTTGCATGTTTACATTCTGAAGCAAACTGAGCACAGGGCAATTTTGCGTTTGGCGGGACTGAGCAGTCGCGGGTAGCCTGCATCGTGTGCTTGCATGGCTTCGTCATTGCATCCATCATGTCTCAGGAACTCTTTGGCCGCCGTATTCGTGTCAGCCGACCCAGAACCTTGGCACGAATTTTGCAGCTGGGCTATGGGGTTTTTCCTCCTTTTTGTGATTTCAGGGATTTAAGTCATTTTAAGTCCTAGTTTTGACTCGCACACGGCTTGCTACATTTTGCTTCTCCTCTGAGTCCATGCCAAGCTACAGAGGTAAATATTCGATCACAGTAGAGCCGGCTGCAGTGGCTGCAGCTGGTGCAGCAGCTGCAACTGCGTTGATGCAGCCTGGACCATCTGTGTCGCCAGCCAACCTGCCACCCGAACTTCTCCAGGCCTGGGGTCCTGGGGGCTTGGTCCATGAAACCGTCCACAACGCCGTTCAACGCCTTCCGCAAATCTCACAAGAGTAATCGAATCTAATCGGGTACTATTTTAAGTAGTGATTAGTGGATATTAGTGGTTCGTGCGTTGCTTTTGCACACTTGTCTCTGCAGTGCATAGTCCTGCGTGGACGTTCGGATTGACTTGCACGTTCACATTGTGTTGTATTCAGTTGTTTCACCCTGAGAAAGTATACAAAAGTAACAAATCCCGACGGATCCCAACAGATTCGGATGCCTTGAATTCTGCCAGGCCGCGGCGCAGGAGCTTCAAGCCTTCGGGGCAAGAGGTTGATGCTGTGGCTTTGCTGCTCTCAGGACACTGCTCTGCGCTGCTCTGCACCGCTCTGTAATCAGCATTTCTTAAGCATTTGTGTTTGTCTCATTTCAGGGTGTCTGGGGTATTTCTCGTGTTTGTTTCCTTTCGCAGTGAGTATTCTGAGTATATAGCCCAGAAAGGAACTCTGGCTCTACCTTTTCGAATAGTCTCTTCACAGTTTGAGTGGACCCACCTGCCAGGAGCTGTCATTGCAGAGCAATGGGGGGGCCATGGGTAGCTGTAGTTCCGAGGGTAAAGCACCCTTGGAGAATTTGGAATGCTGAAAGATAGCGAGCTTGAACTTGTGGAAATTATATAGTCAAAGCAGGTTCGAACTCGACATATATAATCATATTTATATATATATAAGTATCTGCAAACGTTTGCCAGATTCAAGATTGCTCGTCCTTGTTTTCAAAGTTCTGAACTTTGATTTGTTTCAGACTTTTGATTTCCGCAAGTGCATGCGTTACAATGTTGAACTTACCTGAAGTTTTTGTACAGTGCTTAGTGTAGCAAACTGTGAAGGTGGGAACTGCCACGCCACATCAAGGCGCGTTTCTTGGATCTTTTGGTAAGCGCGGAGTTGGAAGAGCTGTTGTAGTGCACCATGCGACATACACCGATATACCATTGGTGTCCCTGGCCCATGGTAGGCATCCAAGCGGTCCAAAAACCATTCCCTCCATGGTAGTTCATATGAATGGGTCAGAAGTATTCAGAAGTCTCATTATCACAAATGGTGGTTCTCTATGTTTCTGTGCATGTTCCTCCAGATTGAAATTCCAAAGCTGCTTTGCATGGCAGCAGTGTGTCAGCTTGCGATGTGCTGGCACAAATTCAGGGGTAGCACTGTCATGATTCTGCCTGTGCCAATAGCTCCGGCGCATTGACGATGCAAGAATCCCGACAGAACAATAGCAATAAAGCGGTAGGAGAAAGGGCGAGAAAGGTCTCTGGCTGACAATCGAAATTTGAACCCTACTGGTCCCGATCTGGCTCAAATGTTTGCTCGTGCTTACCAGAGTAACAATTAGTAACAATGGTCCACATTTATAGCTTAGCAGAAGCAAAGACATGAAACCTGTCGCAGGACCAAGCTAGGCTTAGCGACCCTGAGCCCAACTCGCAATCCCGGCATCTCCAAGCTCGGCTGAACTTGGCTGTTGGCTGGAAGGTGTCCAATACATGGGCGGCTGTTGAGAAAGATGGTAGAGCCACCTTTGTGCCTCCAGTGGATATCACCCGCAGGGAAGTCGCAGTGAATGAATTTGGTTCCTTGCCCCTGAAAACAAAGCTTCGAGGCTTCTGACAATAGTACCAGGAGAGACGAAGAGTCAGCCACATCATCACACAAACTACTTTCATGATCTTTACATGTTCGGTTTAACAGATGTTGCAGGTTTGAGGTAGCTCATCCAGGTCATGTTGCCTATGGGTTGAGACAGCTATACAAGGCCCCTATGCAACTGTGCCATTGTGGCTCAGACAGACTGGACTGAAACCCTGCAAGCCAGTCTGTGCTTCCGGCGTGTTACAGAAACGTCTCCATACCCGTATCGCATCAAAGAAGACAGCAACAGATTTATCTACATATTCAGTCATATTTTTTGTCAAATTCTCCGTCCTCCTGAACAAGACTAGCCATAGGTAGCTCATTGCTATAAAAACGACTTGTACACTTTGTGTCTCAGCCGCATCCCCGTCTTCATTTCCTTGCCCTGACTTCCGGCAGACCTTTTGAATCAGCGACAGGAAGATTGGCATGCATTGTTGCAGATTTGTGTGAAAGGTCGATGCAGAGCACCCTGTAGCAAATGAGCAGCTCCCGAGCAGCTACTAAGTAGATGAGCAGCTATTCCACCTTTTGCCCTTTTGAAACGCAGAACGAAGGCATCAGCAGCCGATGCCATGCTGGGGGTCTTGGCGCTCCTCCTTTGCTCCAGTGCAGCTGAAGGCCCAGAAAGAACAACTCTTTGACTTGCAGCATGTTGCCCAACATGTTGCAGCATTTCGCAACACTCGCCAGACCAAGTTTGAATACAACAGGAAAGTGTCAAGAAAGGGCATCTCAAGCCAAACAACTTTTTCCTATCATTAACAGAAAGAATCACAGACCCATAGGATAGATGAATGTGTACTTACCAGGCTAAGCATCTCAGATTCACAAATCCGAATAGTTTTATTTTCCCGCTGTTTTTGATGCATCTTCGTTGTGGAGATGATGCGACTTGGAGGGCCTGGGTTAAACGCCCTATGATACAGGGCCAAACGTGGGGGGAACATCCATTTAAAATTTACATGCTATTTTGATGTTCAACCACATTGCCAGAGTTTTGACCCATCACTTCAACATATGGAACAGATTAATTTTACTTGAGCTGAGAGAAATGGAACGAAGATAGTGAATCCATGAAATCATTGAAGATGTTTGTTTCAATGTTTTCCGATGTTGAGTCGGCATCAAAGTGCTGGCAGTGCAACTCCATGCGCAAGGAAGTCATAGTTGTGCCGTGGATTTGGACACAGAGCCCGTCCAATTGAATCTGCTGCAGGCATGACTTGCAAAGCGATTTCATTGTGATATCAGTGATATTAATCAAGAGTTATATAATTGACACAATCGAGAGCCAACTGAGAGTTTCCATATGCTTTCATGTGACATTTCATGCTTGGGAGTCCGCCTCAATCCCAATGCCTCTCACACTGGCAAAGCCGCTTGATGCCTCTTGAACAGTGGTTAAAGTTAAAGCTTGCGCCAGGCAGCTGCCGTGAAAGGACCCCACATTCGACACCAGGCACACTTGTTTTTTTTTAGCTGTGGACTAAGCCTTTGATGTTTTATTTTCTGGCTACATGTGAAGGTACTGGCTTATCATAATGTTGTGAATTAATGTGAATTATATATATTGTGATTTGTATTCTGTGCGCTAGAAGTGGCCCGTTTCGGCCACATGTGTGCTGTGCTGGCCATTGGGTGCTGAGTACGGAGCAGGTTGAGATGCCGATTTCACTGGTGCAGAGATCAGCAACTTGAAGATCGGGCCAAATCATACTGTCACAACCCGGGGCGAACCAAAGCCATACGCAGACAGAGGACAGATGAGGACATCAAGACACTCCACCGGGTTAAGGCGATGACGATGCTAAGAGGAGCAACAAAATTGTCGTTGAAATCGCACAGTTTCAAGAGGTTTGTGCATGGAAATACTGCAGCTTTTTGTGGAGAGCTGTCTTTCCATGTCTTTCCTATTGTAAAGCCATCATTTTTTCTTGCTTTGTAGCAGAACAGATGGGACAGGGGTTGGTGGCTGTCAGACAGCTGTCTCCTACGTGCGGTTTCACTATGTTTCTTGCTTTGGCGACGGGATATGACGTCCATGTTCATAGTCTTTCCTGCTTAGCCAAGGCAGCGAATGTGGGCTTGGTGGCGATCATGGAAAAAGCGAGCGCCGGAGAGTGGAGTTTCTACAAGGAGGCTGGTCACACTGCCCGATGTGATACCCTGAGCCCTGATGCATCGTAGTTGTCGTAGTCAAACATAAGTCGAACATATTATGCCCCACAAAAGTCAAATTCTGAACGCAGATTTGCTGCAACCTTCGCATGCGCTTCAAAGACTATATACACGCGCCAAGCCACCCCGAGCCTTCCTTCGGATTCCTTTATTATTTTGCAATGTCTTTGGTCAGGCCACCTACTTGTCTGCCAAAGTATTTTTATCTGAGTACTTGCTGATTCATCTACCTACCTAAGTAATAACACGCCCCTTTCTAAATCAACTATCGCATAGAACATGACCTTGAGGGTTTGTTGTGGACAGCTCCATTTCAGTGGCCTCATGGGGGACTTTTCACTTATGTGAACATGTTATGCGGTGCTTGAACTGCAACTGGTAGTTCCTGGTGTTGGTTTCATACATTTCAGCCGGCGGTGGCGGTCATGTTTTTGTTTGTGAGTTACGCCCAACCACGTTGCACGCTGTTCGCTCTGTCACATGTCCAGAGCTTATGCATGGGTTGACTTGTCGGCGGGAGTCTTAACTCCGGGTTGAATGTTGATTGGCTTTTGTTGAATTCCCCGCCAAGTGGAGCATCCAGCCACCTTTAAAAAACCCACAGGATAAGTGCATGAAGCAAGAAAGCACGATGCGAGTAGCTGCAAAAAGGCAAAGGCACCCTTTCAAGCATCATGAAAAACGTATGCTCAACTGCGCATTTTCAATCCCAAGTCCTTCTACATCCAGAGTCACCTTTCCATGCCAACACTTGCTCCCCCAGCGGGCACGTTCAGCTATGTATTAGAGTTTTGAAATGGTCTCCTTTCCATTCGCACATGAGGCTATTGCGATGAGGATCCTAGTGCCAAACAGTATCCAGCTTCGCTCATTTGTGGTTTGTGTCCCCCCGCACCTTGCAACTATTCTGTTTGTTCCTCAACCTCTGTGCCAAGAAATTCAAGATGCGCCAAGCAAAATCAGCCCAACAGCACAACAGATTCACTCCGACACCATATTTGGTTTGTCCATTGATCAAATCTTGAGCTGGAATTGCCATGAATTGCCTTGAGCCTTGAGGATTGCCGCGTTGCCTTGATTTGCTACTTCTGTGTCTGTTACTTGCAGTTTATTCAATGACTTGCCGTCGGAGGTGGTGCGCGACAACGTAGGTGGCGGCACCTGGCAGGTGAGAGCAGGGAGGAGAACAAACTTGACAGGGACAGAACGCAGAATGTGGACGGATGCTGTTAAAATCTGATAAAGAGGACCTGAAAGACCAAACTCCATAAAAGATCATTGGGAAAACGCAATATTTGTTGTAGAGGATTTCAGATGATTTTCCGTTGCAGCCCACCAGGCTTTGATCTTTGCTGGGATTTTCTTGGCATCTGTATTCGGCCTTTACTGGATGGCCTATGGATTTGGTGATGAAAAGCAAGATGGAATCTCGTCTGCAAACCTTAAAGCATCAAATTCTCAAATGCGTTCAAGTGCTTTGATGTTTCCATGTTTTCCCTCTTCATCTTCTTTCTGTTTTCTTTGTTTTTCTTCACCAATCAATATCGCATCATCGCTAGATGCGTGAAACCAGCTTGTCATAGCTTGTCTACAGCATATCTTTCAGAAAAGTCCAATAACATTTCAAGTTCTGCCGGAACTGAACTGTTTCGCTTTGACAAATCTCGTGGGCAGAAATCAACTTTTGCTTCAAACCTCCCTGGCTCCCGAAGTTTAGTCCTGCAGCGCCTCTTCTACCAATTCTTTCAGTGCTCAAACTTCTGAAGTCTCCAGTCGTATCAACACAGTGCTTTGTGCTGCATTCAATACAATTTTGAGGAAGCTGGTTCCAAACACGGGCGGATTGCCGCTACATCCCACATGTATAGCTCCCTATAAAGTGGATATCCTTTGCGTCTATAAAGTGGGATTCCGGTTCCGGTCGCCACTTTATACACCAACCATGGGGGATAAAGCCGTGTTTTGCGCAAAAAGACATGCCCTTGGACCTGGCAAGATGACTTTATACAACGTTGGTTTTTCAGTTTATACCCGGCTGGTTTCCCACAAGGAAATGACTCAATATATGCGGCAATGCGCTTTATAGACCGTTGGTTCCCTTCCAAGAATGGCCACAACATGTCACACCATCAACTTTATAGAAACATCTCTCCCCAATGATTTCGAACCAATACTTTTTCTGTTGAGCTTTATACATGGCAAAGCACTTTATAGAGGGAAGATTGCCCTTTAAGAACGGAACTTTGCTTTAGCCAGGGCATTTTATAGAAAGAAAGTTGCTGCAGAGCATTTTAAATATAGAGCATTTTAAATATAGAGCATTTTGTTTACACATATTATCATTTATGTAGAGCGCAGTTGGAAGAGGAAGAAGAAGAAGAAGAAGAATTAGAATTGTTATCATGTATATCATTATATAATACCACAAAAATAATCATATGAAACATATACCAGTTATAATTATCGAAGGAAGTTAGAAGTCAAACTTCCGACACTATGGACAGATGGAAAAGCAGAGGTGGGAAGAGTCAGAGAAGAGAAGAGAGGAGAAGAAGAAAGAAGATCAGAGAAGAGAAAGAGTCAGAAGACAGAAGATGCAGGTGCGCGAAAAGGTAGGAAAGTCGCGAAACACTGTGTTTTTCGAATGATTTGTGGCTCCGGAGGGTCCAAAAGTAGACTCGCTAAAGCGGCGGGTGCGGAGCCCGCTGGGCAGATGAGGGATGAAAAATTGCACGCCGTTGTGGTGCGAAGTACATGTCGAAGTCAAAATGTGCAAAGCACACCATTCTCAGAGCAGTTTTCGAAGTTGAGATGTCGAAAAAGTGCACGCCTTTGTGGTGCGAAGCACGTTTCGAAGTCAAGATGTACAAAACAATGACCACCCCCTAAACGAAATTAATTCAGGTGGACCGTTGGTTATCGGCTTGTTTTTCAATTAAATTTGAATTGGGTGAGTTTTTCCGAGGATTAATTAAAGTTAGGAGTGCCCAAAATAATTTAGCGCGAGTGCTTGAGAATGAGAGTGGGGCCACCTCGAATTAATTTGTCAATGTTTCGTCAAACTAACTCAAACCATGGGGTCCCAAACCAGTACACCCACCCTCAAATTAATTTTACATGCGGCCACGCGAGCTGGGAAAAAGAAAACTTTGTTGGTGCAGAAAGAAATAGATTGGGTGTCTATTTATTCGTGAGGCTTTTCAATGGGCTTTCAATTCTCATTGCGCACAATCGATGAGATTCTGTTCCAAACACATCTTCTTACTTGTAAATGCAAATGCTACCCGGTTAGATTTAGTATGATTTAGTGTCAATATAATCATTGGGTCCTGTACTGGCACACCCACCCCCAAATTAATTTTACGCGTGTCCACGCAAGCTGGGAGGAAGGAAAGCCATGGTTGGCGATATGAGAAATAAATGGTTTCCGTATGTTAAAGTGGCCGGTCTAAAATGCCTGTTCGTATATCTAAAAGTCCGTATATTTAAATTTAGTTACCGTAGCTTTCACTTTTCAATATTTTCATCTGTTTTTCTTGTGCTTAAGAACTTTTTTTGCATTCTACTTTTTTTTTCAAAGTCACTTTTTTTTTATCTCACCCGTTGTGGCGTCTCGGTGTTGTTCCACCCTTGTCGTTCCCCCTTGTATTCCCCCCTGTTGGGCATTGCTCACCTGTTGTATCTTCTGCGTTGTGTGTACCCTGTTATGTGTCCTCTTTGTTGCGCTTGGCTTTCCCAGCTCCGAGTGATTCTCGACGCCTGGGTCCCAAACTGGCACACCCACCCCCAAATTAATTTTAAACGGTGCCGAAGGAGGGCGCGCCAATGATTTGACGCAGTGGAACGCAGTAAGGCGGAATCAGGACATGGAAACTGATCATAACAAAATGTAAAGGAACGATTTCCAAGACAAAATCACCTACTCCCACCTTCGCCTTCAATGAGCAAGAGGATAGTCTTAATATTTTTGGCATTGATTAGAAGAAATTATTTGGGGTCCCCCCAGCCCAAGAAGAAATGGTAGTTCCTCCACTCTTGAATAATTTTGCCTGAAATTAATTTAGGTGGTGGGAAAGAACCCTTTATTACATCTAGGTGGGGGGGAAGCGCCACCGAACAAATTAATAGAGGTACCTTGAAGAAATAAGGACCCTTGGATTAATACTTTTATTAATGTAGGTGGGGGACCGCCCTGGGGACCCTTTAGGGGGTGGCCATACAAAACACTTCAGTCTCGGAGCAGTTTTCGAAGTTGAGATGTCGAAAAAGTGCACGCCGTTGTCGTGCGAAGCACATTTCGAAGTCAAAATGTACAAAGCACCTCAGTCTCGGAGCACTTTTAGAAGTTGTGATGTCGAAAAAGTGCACGCCGTTGTGGCGCGAAGCACATTTTGAAGTCAAAATGCGCAAAGCACACCAGGTTCGGAGCACTTTTGGAGGTTGAGATGTCGAAAAAGTGCACGCCTTTGCGGCGCGAAGCGCGTGTCCAAGTTAAAATGCTAAAAGCACCACATGCTCGGACCACTTTTGAAGGTTCAGATGTGGTTTTGCGTGGCAGGCGCGAGGGATTCTGCATCTTGCCAACAATGAGCAAAACGTGGGGGTTTGTAGCAGTTCCAAAAACGATGGCAGGCGTGGGGCATTCGAAGAGAATCTGGAAAGATGGATTTCGCGTGGCAGGCGCAGTACAAGAGACATGTTCATCAGAGATGTTAGGAGGTCCGGGCGCTGATTTCCTGAGAGGGGTTGCATTTTGGAGCATCAGATCTTCAGGTTTGCTGAGGTGATTTTGCGTGACAGGTGCAGCACCTCGTATGATCTGGCATCAATTTTTCGTGGTAGGCGCAGCACTTTAGACAGATGGAGTGGAAAAATCGCAAAGCGCATTGGTACGAGGCCGTCAGCTCTGCACTCAACTGTCAATTTTTGAAGGAAGTCTCGCACAATTTCTTCGTTTTTGATGTTGTCAACTTTGAAAAATGAGGAGTCCCGCAGAATTGTTTTGTTTTGGATATGGTGTCGAGTTCCAAAATTGAGGAAGTCTCGCAGAATTGCTGCATTTTGATGTTGCCAAGTCCAAAAATTGAGGAAGTCTCGCAGGCTTGCTGCGTTTTCAAGCTTGCAGAAAGACAGATAAATAGATAGATAGATCGATAGATAGATAGATAGATAGCTAAACAGAAAGACAAATAGATAAACAGATATATAGATAGACAACTGCAACTGTTCTACACCACACTACGACTACAACTTCAACTACAACTACACGACCACTACAACTACAGCTTCAACTACGAGAGCGACAGCTACAACCACAACTACAAGTTCAACTACCTTTCAACTACAACTACAACTGCACCTACAATTACTACAGCTACAACTACAATTACAAGTGCCGCGACAACTACAACTACAACTGCAACAACTACTACTACGACACTACAACTGCAACTGCAACTACAACTGCAACTACAACTTCAGCTGCACTACAACTACACTTCAACTACCTCTTCAACTTCAACTTCAAGTGCGTTACTAGAACAAGAATTACCACGAAACTACACTACAACTACAAGTACAACTGCAACTACAACTGCAACTAAACTACAGTTACAACTCTACTACAACGACAGCTACACTTACATCTACAACTCCTACAACTATTGCAACTAATTATTTACTACGAGTACTACAATTAAGACAATTACAACTTCAACGACACTTCAACTACAACTACAACTACAGCTACAACTGCAACAACTGCAACAACTGCACCACACCACACTACACCCAGGAGTTGTGAGTGAGGTGACCACTGCAACCATCGCAACCAGTCCACAAAGCACAACTCCAACCACCTCTCGGTCCATCAGTGAATTCGTTCTGCCATCCATGCATCACAACAACTCACCTCTCCTCTCGTGTCCTATCCTTGAAACTTCCGCCACCGCCTTGTGCGGTACTACTGGACATATTTAAAGAAATATATATATATAACTATATATTTAAATATCATCATCATCATCACCATCATCATCTTCATCGTCATCATCATCATCATCGTCATCATCATCATCAGGCTTCCCTTTTCAATACAAATCGAACAGTTTATGACTCTAATTTTGCTTTGATATACTCGTACAAGTTGGTTGTAAACCGATCATTTTTTGATGCATCTTCAAGGATGTGGGTAAAAGAACTTGGGTATTCATACCATAAACAAACTATAGATATTTATATCTACAATTTACATGATTAGATGTGTTGGCTCATGAGCCCACCGGGCTATTCATATATCCACCAAACACATACCAATTCTGTCACGGGTTAGCATGGTCTATGCCTGCCGTGGCAATCAGAAATGGTGGGCTGACCGCTCTGGTTTGGGGATTAATATAGCCATCAAACAAAATGAAACCAAAACCACTTCAGAATGATGTTTGTGGCAAAACCCTCGCTATAAAGTGGCCTGACCGCGTTACACCGCTGAAAAAAAAACAATCTTAGTTGGACCACTTTATACCCGCTCCCGAGCAGAGAATGCCTCTATAAAGTGGCCTGATCGGGTTACACCCTTGAAAAAACACCAATCGATGTTGGTTGGACCCGCTCCCGAGCAGAGAATGCTACAAAGTGGCCTGCGCCCCTGAAAACATCAATCGATGTTGGTTGGGCCACTTTATACACTTCCAGCCCCTTCCATCCCTTCGCAATTCAAAGCGGTGTTGCCCCAATCGATGTTGTTAACGACTTCGATATCGATATTTGCTTGGCTGTCGGTTTCATTCGGTTTCGATGTTTTTTGGGTTCCCCATCGATGGGATCGAGGATATATTCCCCCATAGTTTGAACGGGGCCCGTCATCTCTACACACAATCATGTCGATGTTTCCATCGACGTGATTAAGAGCACCATCGATATTACAACGATGTTTGTTTACTGGGTACTCCACATTATAGTACCACTGTTCGACACAAGTATTATTGTTTGGATGTTGCGCAATTCACTTTATAGTAATGGGAAACGTTCGCAAATATCCTCAAAAACCCACATCGACTTTTATGTTTTTACGTGGCCAGGCGACTTTATACAACGTTGGTTTGTGATTTTATAACCAAAACATGTTGGTTTTCCATTTTTTACACCCCCATAATGTGGCCATTCCAGTTTATACCAGGCTATTCCTGTATAGACACGGCCCGGGCTATACATGGGGGATGCCGCCGCTAGTTTGCTGGTTGCTTCTCCAGCTCGGTTACACCAGGTGGGCAAACCAATTTACTTGAGTTGCGCGACTTTCTTTCCAGTATGTTGTATTTCCGTTGTTAGTGTATCGTGCATGTGTTTGACGGTGTTTGTTTCCATTTTTTAAGTTCTCATTGCTCGTGTTTCTGACAAATTTCCGTGTCACGGAGGAGCAGAGGAGAGGAGAGAAAACCAAATTGAATAGAGAGGTGTGGAGTAGAGAAGAGAAAAGGAGAGAAGAGTACTCTAGGTACAGACAAGAAGAGTAAAGTAGATTAGGCTAGGCAAGAGAAAAGTAGAATAGAGAAGAGTAAGAGAGCAGAGACGAGCAGAGCAGCGCAAAAAAAAGTACAGAAAAAAACGAAAAAAAGTAGGGAAGAGCAGATCAGAGTAGAGAAGAGTAGGATAGAGAACTGTAAGGTAGTGTACTTTTGGAGGATGTCTCGCACAAAAGCACAGAAGTTTCATGTTCAGATTTGCAAATTGGAATTAGCAGGACAGTTTGCACGGGAGTTTCATTCACATCTTCAACTGGGACTCACATGTTCATCTATGTTCATCTTAGATTTTCGGTATCAGGCGAAAACTTTGTTTTCATAATAAAAAATGCCTCAGAAGATGGGTGGGAATGCCTGCTGCGCGAAGGTTGCGACACGGTCTCGCATCATTCTTGGATCATGGTCCAATCACCCGCGCATGGAAGTGAAATTTCAGTGGTTTGCTGTGTTTTGTGCACGCGTGCCGAAGTTTTTTGCCGTTTTCTGGTCGTAGATCGCACTGGTGTGGCTGTGCAAATGTTGCTACTTGCTGCTCTGCACGTAGTTTTTTTTTGACAACCCTATGCTTGCAGGTCGTATGGTGACTGCGTCAATGTTGCTCAGTCAATGCTGTGGCTGTGCACTGCGTTTCACAGCGAATTGGTGCATTAGGGGTCATTAGGGTGGCTTTTGAGTTTGACGTTTGTCTGTGTGCTGGTGCTTTCGCGCTCTGCAAACCGGAGGTTTCTTATGTAGTGTGAATAGCTGCATCAAGGTGGCTCGTGGGGTGTGTCTGTGCACTGGTTGTTTTGCGTTTTGCATTGCAGTGGTCGCTTTGCGCACCCAAAATTGTGCGTCAATACTTGCGCTGCGAGATTCTCTACAACTTTGGCGCTTTTCATTTTTCTTTCATGGGTTCCCATTTTATTTCTTTGGCGTCGAGATCCGGTTCTTGGAGCCGGAACTTCAACAGACATCAAGAGGAAGAGATGTCAAGAGAGAGAGAGAGAGGGGCGCCAAGAGAAAGAGATGAGGAGAAAGAAGAATCAACAGAAGGAGAGATGTCAAGAGAAAATATGCCATGAGAAAGAGATGCCAAGAGAAGAGATGTCAAGAGCAAAATCTTAACACGCATTTGTTTTGCCCTGTAGCTCCTTACCTGGTGAAATTTCCGTCCCCGGTACTACTAGTATAGATGCATGCAACATCACGCAACACAAGAATATTGAACATATACGCGGGTTGGATGGGTAGGCCTGGAACGCTGCGGAACCATGGCACACCCCGCATTTTCGAATTCAGGTCGGATTTGGTGACCTTTTGCAGGAATTGCGTATTTTTTCTACTGTTTTTCTGCGGCAATGTATTCTGCCATGGTGTCGGTGGATTCGATCCCTTAGATAAGGTGTGGTAGTGTTCCGGCCGAGAGTTACATGTGAAACTCAGTGCTTGAATTAAGATCATTTGAGATACTTGCTGCAGTATATTATGAATTTTAGTGAGCCAACAAGAACAGAATGAAGAAAAATGATCGTCATCATTTGCATGTCAAATGTGTTGCTCTTCTCCGACGATTTCTGGTGCTGCACTCACAAGTGCCTATGGATCTGTAAATCTTAATAATCTTAATATCATTTTTGTGAATTGTCATCTTTGCAAATGTCAATGGACTGTTTCATTGCGCTGCAATTCAGTTCGATGGTGTTCCTTCGTGTCCTTGCCTGTGCATCCTTGTGAAGTGGCAGTGTTGATTTCCCACTGCCCCCTCAAATCCCTTTATATCCTTTGTTTTGTTCCTTCAATACAGCCACCCGAAAAGCGCTCAGCAAAGCAATCAGTTTGGTTGGTTTACAACTGACCACATTTACCCAAGTGCTTTAAGTTGAATTGTGCTGCATTATGTTGAATTATATGTGTATGTATATATATATATGGAGGTCCTTCTAGGGGTTGTGCGTGAAAACGGCCAACGTTGTTCTAAAGCCATCACTCGCAATCTTTTTGAGTTCGCTATACAACATGATTTTTTTTCCGGCTACAGAAACTGCGAGCGCCTCATCGGTGTTTGTGTGATTTGGGGGGGGCTTTCAACTTGAGTTTTGGTTCCGCGAATTCACTCAGCGCCGAAAGTACAGCTGTCCGGAGAAGTACCCAGCCCACAAAGCACCACGGATTACCGTGGTCATTAGTCAAGAAGTAAAGTGGATTGTTGTATCATTGCATGCAGTTTCCACGATAGGTGCCATTTCCATTGGTGGCGTTTCCATGCAGTTTCATTCCTTCCCACTTCTTATATATATTTCCCAAGGTCCCAGGGACGAGAAGGTAGGTTACTGTACCTCTGTGAAAGATAAAATTAGAATTTGCAAGAGTTCGACTACAGTTCTTTTGCTAGAGAAGCTCGTTTCAGGATGAGAAGAACATCCAAATCCATCAAAATCCAGTGTGCCTGAATATGATATAGATCATATTGAATTTTGGGGCTTCCACAATTTGCAGAGCTTTGCGTTGCTTTCCTCTGTTGAATCAAGGTCGCCGAGATCCGCGTATTCTGGAAAGCAAACAAGCGCCAGCTGGCCATTTGCTCTCCAACCGACAGTGGCCTGAAGCAACGAAACAGGCACATAGTTTGGACTTTGAATTCCCCTGTCTATAGAAGTGTTTTTGAGGGGAATTCGGCAATGATTGTTCAATACTATTCAAACATATGTTAGCTGCTTTTGTTCTCTAATCATTTGTCATCGCTTGTTTCTGCATTTTCTTTGGCCTAAGGATGTATCCTGCGATGAGCCAAAGGCCAACTTTGGAGCACAACTCAATGCGCTCCTTAGTGGGCAGCGTGGGACCAGGTATGGCACCGGGTATTGCGCTATCACGGAAGTCCACAGGCAGGAGTCTGCCAGAGCTGACCAATGTACTGAGGTTCAACAGGTATCAACAGGTTCAGGTTCATGTCAGTAAAAACTTCCAAGACTTGAAAAAGGCATTTGCACAACCTGTCCTTGTGCTGATTTTGAATTTGGTTCGATTTCATGTGTACACTTACAGGAACACTTCTAGCAACACTCGCAGCAACTCTTACTTGATCTTGCTTGATCTTCCTTGATGGCATATTTGATGGTGCACAGCTTCGCGGTCAGGTGACAATTGGTATCCAGAATTGCCGACGATTTATCCGCCACTGGTGATCCCCGCAGCGCATACGCGTTTGGCTGTACCTGTGGGGCCTTTGACGGGCCACGAGCAGTTCGAAGTTGATGTCTTGGGGCTGTCAGGCCAGAAACAAGCAGAACCTCTGCTCTTGGGCAAAAGATGACTTCAGCAATCAAAGCATGCCTCAGACTTGTAAAATCGATGTGAAAAAACTTGATATGACATTTTTTTTGTGATAGATTTATCTATACAAGAATATCAAAGAATGTCTTTGTCAAGTGTCACAACTCTTCTAAGCATGCAGACATGCAGCAAAAGACAACTGGAAAGCAAAGTTTGGGGCATTTCCCTGAGACTGTCCACTTAGACACAGGCTCAGACTGTGATCAGGTGCGTTCATGTTCTGTACGCAAGCATTGTAGTCTTGTGCATCGATATGGATATACAGTGTGTGTGGATATTTATATTTATGAATATATATACAATATATATATATTTATACATATATTACATACATAATATTATATAATATAAATATGCATTTCTGTAAGTTGGTTTTGATACCCAACTTGCATAGCATGACATTCCATAACACACAGCGAACCAGGCACACGTTCACGTACAGCACATGCATAATTTTGTGCCTGATACCGTGCATGCAGTGCATACCTAAATGCTGGTTTTGGCAAATGGCTCTTTGAGTTTCGAGACAAACACCGCCGCTGTCGCAGGTGTTCCACTGCTCACCGCATCATTGGTTCAGGAGAATGGTCTGAGCAAAGTGCAGATTACCTTGCACAGTGCAGGCACGCTAGCGCTACTGCAAAAACTCGCAAAGACTATGACCAGTTTGCAGGTTGGTAGATCCCTACAGAAATTTTCCCAGTGATGACCTTGTTCTGACATGTTCGGAATTCACATCAGCCACAATCGTTTGCCTTTCTTTAAAGATTATATAATTGCGCATGGGCTTCTCTTTGCTCTGATGAAAAACAGCAATACTCAGCAATCAACATTCAGCTAACAGAACAAACAGTTGAACAAAGTTTGTCAAAGACTCGGAAGATGAAGTGTTGCCAGATGAACTGGAACCGTCTAAAAGGTCACAAGTTTGGGGTCTATATGGATTCGTCTTTACGCGGTAAAGGTTCTATATAGGTTCGTCTAGGTTTATCTACAGTACTTTTTGGGCATGCACAACTCACTTGGTATCAAGTTTGGCGAACTTCGTGAACCATGTTTGGGTTGAGCTGGTCGTGAATTAAGCTCAGTCGAACCATGTCGACCATGTCGAACCGTGAGCTGCATGAGCAGCGCCAGGCACGTTACTTGCCATTGTCACTGACGTCCCGGTGCTCAGGGGAGCGACATGGAGACTACATGGAGGAATACGGCATGAATAAATCGTTATATTACTATTAATATTAGATAATATTAGCGTTTAGTTGTTATTACTCTTTTGGTATTGTTATTTTATGTTATTACTAGTATTATCGTTATCATTATTATAGATTATAAATATAAATATATACATATAATTCATGTACTGTGTATGTTCTGCTATGTGCGATAATTGTAAGGACTTACCGTTGTTCATTGTGCTAGAAGATCCTAAAAGACTCAAAAGACAGTTATCTATTTTTCCGAACTCGCATTTGTACTGTTCTTTTTGCAAGAAGATCCCTTTCAAGGTATGGTCGTGTCTTGGACTAGTTGATGCATCGAAGCTCAACAACTTCTCGAGGCCAAAGAAGTCTATGGCAGCGATGGAACTCACTTTGGCACTCTTGTCAAGGTGCACAGATGGTAAGGGAGGTGCACGTTGAAAAATAAGAGAAATAATGAGAAAAGGTGTTTTCATGTTTGCACGTTGCTTCATTTTGATAAACTGTCTGCTTTGGGATGTATTTGGGTAGGATGGGGCTTGCAGAAGAGAGAGCCTGGTTGGTCTACCTTCTGTCTTCGATTCACTATCATTGTGCTTCATTCCATGCTTGTCGTAGCTACTGTGTTGATCTCGTGTTGATGTTCCTTCTTGGCCCACCCCCAGGATGATCCGAACAGTTTGCAGCAAACCCTGCGGGACCGGGCTGGAAGGCCGTTA